TAGAATTTTTTTTGCTAATCTTTTTCACAGAAAAAAAAAATTTACTTGAATTAAGTAAATAATTTTGAAGAATTGTTTTGATTTAAAAAATTCTTAAACTAAAAAATTTAACTTGATTTAAGTAAATTTTATTTGATTTAAGAATTTTTTATCTTAATTCAAGACAATGAGCTTATTTTTTCGGTTCAAAAATTTCACTCTTGATTGAAGTTAATTTTTTTTTCAGTGAAGTTAAAAAAAAATGATGAAATGTCTCTAAATGAAATTAAAATTTCTCTTTAAGATTTAAGATGTCTATTTAATTTAATCTTTATCTTAATCTCCATATTGCTCCTCTATCTTCTGTACAGTACAGCATCCAACAAAGTAACTACTGGAATTACTGGTAAGAGTAATACAAGCACGCTCAAGTATGGCCTCGTGTTAATTGTATTTAAAGTTTATGCTGAAAGCATGTAGTACATTCATATTAATGTTTAAAGAGCCGAGTGCATAAGAACATGAAAAAATCTCACACCGCTAAAATACACTGCACCCAGTGGAGTATGCACCGTGCAACACACAACACCAGTTAATATAAGTGCAGTACATGCACACACGATGCGTTGGCGGACACGCGGGATATTAACGCGCATGCGCGGTCATTCTGGAATTTACCCCCGCGGTACTCTTCAACCAACAAGTGGTTTCATTCTATGTAATGGTGGGATTACATGTTATGTATCTGTATTTATATATTTATGTACATACATACATATATATATATATATGTACCTTGTTTTTAAAATGTAAAATGTACCCGCATTCTAACTTATTTCTCATTTTCAACTCTCTGTTAAATATCTTAAACTCTCTCCTGATATTTATTTATTTTTTATTAATTTTCTTCTACATAAGTACGTACCTAGAAAATATAAATATACGTTTATATGTATGTATATAAAATAATAATTAGCTTTACAGGTACAGAGTCTCACGCGCGAGACTCCGTTTGCGGTAATGGGATTATTTAACTTTTTTGCTCGGTAAAATAAAATAAATAAAATAAAAAACGAGTCTTAGGGAGACAAGGAGGGGTCATTAGCACTTTCGTTGACGAGAGAGTCGAGGCCAATCGAAAGCTGAAGCCTTATGTTACATTTAATAGTATGTAATACGCTAATAGATATTTTATTTTATTATTTTAGGGTACGAAATATATTCTTTAATTATCAATATTGATACCCAATTGTGTTGATAAAATATTTTGAATAGATGGATTTTTTTTTATTGAAAATAGGCGGCCTAGGCATTGAGTGGAATTTTAAAAATTTCATCAACACTCCAGAAGTCGATAACAATGATAAGAGTGATTTTGAATGCAGAACAGTAGGTAAAGTGTGTGGTAAAACCAACAAGGTCACGATCGTCAGACTGTATTTGTATATATTTTAATGTTTAAATAACAATTAAATTTTTACGAGATTTTATTTTGATTTACAAAACTTTCTTAGAAAGTTTGTGGTAATAGTTAAATAAGCGTGTTTGTATTTAAATTATAATGATAATAAATTTTACTGAATACGGAGAAATTTAAAGAGTTATTTGTTATTATTATTATTATTATTATTATTATTATTGTTGATGTTGTTGTTGTTATTATTATTATTTGAGAAAAATAATTATAATACTGAGGACCGAGGACGGCTACGATGATGATGAATAAAATAAGAAATGAATTTGGAATTTATGTACAGGAGCAACATCACTTCATTGTCAGCGGTCTTACGTTTATCCTGGTGGTGGGCATGTAATTCTGCTGGCTGATACTATCGCCAGGTTTTATAAGCACGCATGCAACCGAGCCCGAGCCAAGTAAAGTCGAGCCAAGTGATAGCCGTCGGGCAGAGGAATTTAAAAATTCCTCAACCAACGTGTCATCCTCTCACTTTGGAATTTTTCCCCGTGGTGTTGAATAGCCTTTACCTTGATTGATCGAAAGACGAATTAAAAAACCAGATAAATACAATCTACTAAAAATATTAATAAATATTTTTTTAATTTCAACTTTTTTTATAATTATTGAATTCTTAAAAATATTTATGACACTGAAAATATCTAATAATTTTTTAACAAATTAATTTATCACAAAAACAATTATTTAAAAAATAATGAAAATGAAGTTAGCCGACATTTCAAAAAAATTTCAATTAAATAATTAAAAAAAAAAATTCACATATAAAAAACTTGAAAAACTATAAGTGTAATTTTTTAGAAATATTTTTTTACTTTTAATTTGATTAATAAAAAAAATCAAAAATTTTTAGACATCTGCTAGCTTCAGTGTAATAAAAAATATCATATTTCAGAGCTTCTAAAAATTATAGATGAAATTTTTTTTAATAATTTTTTACACCTTGATTATTTTTCAAGAAAAATAAAATCGTTAAGTGTCTGCTAATTTCAGTGTTATAAATATTTAATTTTTTTATTTAAAATAAAATTACTCTTTTTTTATTTATATATTTAATATTTAATTATAATTAAAAAAATTAATATTTTTATATATGTAAATAAAATAATAAAAATAAAAAAAGAGTATTTATAGACTTAGAAAAATTTTCTTTTTCCCAAAATTAAATAATTTTTTCAAGACTATTATCTGAAGAATAAAATTATCTAACGGCGTAAGATCGGTAATTACTCGGTTATAGTTTATAACAATCGGATAAATAGTGGTTTCGCGCGTGATCGATTGTAAGTTAGCTGGAAGTTGAGTCGGTTGCTAAAAGAATAAAAATAAAAATAAAAATCTGAGGATAAATAAAATAAAATAAAATAAAAAAAAAAAAAGTTGGAGAACGATCTCGTGGCGATTGTAAGATTCAGGATTCCGTCACGATCCTGCCAGCAGCAGCAGCATTGCGGCTGTTGCCTGGAACGAAAGCTATTACAAGTCTCCGTCGACCTGCTCGATCTCTTACCGGTTTAAATTCCTCGTGGTAGGAACGCCGCCGCCGACTCTCCGTAAATGGAATTAGTATAAACAGATCAGAAAATCCAGGACTACTCGAGTATAATATTTTAAATTCTTACATAACTCATTCTTTCATCATATCGTATTTGTCTTTTATTATAAATTATTATTATTTCTCCCATTATGGTCAATAATAATAACAGCTAAAATATTATATGACACTGAAGTTAGCAGAAGTTTAAAAATTTTTTATTAATTAAATTACAACTAAAAAAATTTTTCTAAAAAATTGCACTTATAGTTCTTTAAGTTTTTTACATGTGAAATTTTTTTTTTAAGTTTTTTAATTGAAATTTTTTTAATAAAAAATTTTAAAATGTCGGCTAACTTCATTTTCATAATATTATCAATAATAATAATAATATTAAAAATAATTTTAACACATTACCTGAATATAAATAAAAAAAAAATAAATAATTAGTAAAATAATAATAAATAAATAATATTAAAACGTTGGAACTTACCTTTAAGCGTCTCAACCAGAGATTCCTCTTATCTCGGCAAGAACAGCATTCCGTTCTACGCGTATAATAATCTAGTAATCCAAATATATATATTTATATATAAAATATAATATATATATATATATAATAATAATATCAATGTAAAAAAATGTTTATTTGTAATAATAAACACTAAAAAACTAAACCATCCACTGGGTATGATATTATTTATATTTTGTGGAACAATTCACAGTAATTTAAAAATTTACCGCCGGAGCCAGATTTTTAAAATAATCACATAACAAAAAAAAATTAAAATCACTGGAGACACTTAAACTCTAGGTCACTGTCCACTGAATAAAACCACTGAACAGGTACTTGGATGCTACAGGTAATTGATAAATCCAACTTTCAACCACTTTTTTAAAACTGTGATAATTATCACGGTAAAAAGCGCTAGATAGAATTTATTATTGAGATTAATATTTATATTTATGTGATTAATACAAGCTGAAACTTGGGATAGATAATAAGAGCTGAGAAGACGATGTTAATATTTGAATTTAATACCTAACTTCACCGGCTGCCGGTGAATGACTGACGCGGTTTGATGAGTAGAAGGGGAAACACGCCGCGGTTCCCTCTCCGATGGCGGTCGACCGCCAAATAATTTGAAATGGCCGTGGTTTAAAATTAAGCGGGAAAATTTGAATTGAAATATTTATTTTTATTATTATTTGTTGAATAATTAAAATTTATTGTTATTTTTAATTAAAAAAATTAATGAATATTAATTTGGCATATATTTAATTCATTTTAAAAATTTTGCAGCAAATAAATAATGGCAAAAAAAAATTAGAAAAAAATGAGATGTAGAAAATTAAAAAAATAAAAATGCAATTTTTTTAAAATAATTGTTTTGATAAATAAAATTAAAAAATTGTTCATTTGCTAACTTTAATGTCATAGATAATTGAATATTAATTAGAATAGAAATTTATTTAAAATTTGAATAATAACAATAAAAAAAAATTTTTTCTACCTTTATAAAGTTGGTGATATTTTTTTATAATAAATTAATAATACTAAAGTTAGCCATAACACTAAAGTTAGCCGACATTTGTAATTTTTTTATTTTTTTTTAATTATTAAATTAAAACTAAAAAATATTTTTGTAAAATTGCAAAAGTTTTTTACAAATGAAATTTTTTTTGCAATAATTTTTTCAATAAAAAAATTTTTAAATGCCGGCTAACTTAATTTTCATAAATTAGCCAACATTTTTAATTTTTTGATTTTTTATCAATAATTAAATTAGAGGAAAAAAAATATTTTTAAAAAATTGTACCTACAGTTTTTCAAGTTTTTTACGAATGCAATATTTTTTTCAATAATTTTTTCATTAAAAAATTTTTTAAATGTCTAACTTTATTTTCATAATAAATTTCATAAATTTCTAGAAAACAACTTAGCCGACTGCCGGAAAATTTGAATTAAAAATGCGCGCCACCTGTCAGACTAACTAGAATCATGTCTAGTGGTGCAAATGGCGTTTTGTTCGAGAAAAAGGATACAAATATGGAGATAAAAAGAGAAGGAAACATAACGAAGCGAAGAACGAGTGTAAAATCAAATCGAAATTGAGTACGAGTTCTGGTTCGGGGTATGTACGGGTAGAGTATGAACTACGAAGACCTAGATGGGAGAAGAAGACGAGAGAGAATGAGTGTACTGTGACGTAAACGATCATCCAAACAAGTATCAGCTGTGTGCAGTCATTGTTCGTATTCGTTTTGGCAGTAACACAAGAATTCGACATTTTTTTTTGTGTTATTTTGTGTTTAACTAAATTGTTGTTGCATTTTGCAGTTAATGGTTTCAGAGTGCTCACTAACAACCAACACACTTACATCCTCATGATAATTATCGCGATATTATAAACAACAACATATAACATCAAGTGCGCTATACACATACGACACAGTTACATCCATACCTACATACATTTTTACATATATTATTATTATTATTATTATTATTATTATTATTATTATATTATACATGTACCTATATAATATATCTCTATCTAAGTACAACTTACATAGCACATATACATGTATGTATATAGACATATAATATAATATGTGTACATATATGTATGGGTGTATTAGAGGAGACGTCATTGTATGCTGAGCGTGTACACGTAAAATTAATCTGAAAAAAACAAAGAAAGTGGGGGAGTTGCTGTTGCTGTAGTAGTCAAGTTCTGCCAGCGCATACAATATATTTAATACAACATACAACACCAGGAACACGTATTGTGTTTGAATAAATTGAATTAAATAATAATATTAGTTATAATTATAACTTGTAATAATTGAAAAAAAAAAAAAACCTACGAGGATTGAGTCAAGCTGATTGTGAGAGTACATATAGAGCGAGGGCACGAGAGCGAAACGTTGGCTGATTTTTTTTACATCGTACGTGGTGTAAATAAAATTGTGGCCCGTGTATCAGCGGCCCCACCAGCGGACGCACCACCAGGGGACAATAATCGTGTGAAAAACGGGGCGGTACGCGCGTAAGCCTGGCCTCGAGCGGCGAGTCGGACGACGGTGGGCTCGCTCCGCCACCGCGCAAAAGGTCCCGTAGTTCACTTACAACTACCCTAAGACCAGCGGACGAGTACCACACCAGCGCAACTATGGACAATTATCGGTAACTTGTTTTATTTGTTTTGTTACATTGCTTTGTTTGTTTATTTTGTCCCAAACTTTGCTGTGCTTTGATGATTTGTCATGGTCATGGTCCATGTTCAGTAGGGTAGCGCAAAAAAACCAACTTTATGATGCTAAAGTTAGCCGACGATTTTAATTTTTTGATTTTTTTTTAATAATTACATTAGAACAAAAAAATATTTTTAAAAAATTGCACCAACAGTTTTTAAAGTTTTTTACAAGTGAAATTTTTTTTAATCATTTTTTCAATAAAAATAAAAATTTTTAAATGTCGGCCAACTTAATCTTCATACTATTTTTATGAAAATTAAGTTAGCTGACATTTAAAAATTTTTTTTCATTAAAAAAAATGATTACAAAAAAATAAAAAAAAAATTCATTTGTGGAAAACTTTAAAAACTGTAAGTGAAATTCTTAAAAAATATTTTTTTCTAATTTAATTATTAAAAAATTAAAAACTTCGGCTAACTGTACTATTATACTATTTTTTTTTTTTTAGTCTCGAGTGAAAAAATGTCAGTTTTTGATGTTTTAAGAGCCCTCTCCAAAGAACAGCTCAAAAAAAAAATTTTTAAAAGGTCGCTCATAATTTTTTTTAAATTTCAGAGTCAAAAGATGCTAATCCAATTAAATAGTCACTGGTAAATTAAAAAAAAAATTATGAGCAACCTTTTGAAATTCACATTTTAAACTGAAACTTTCAGGAAAACCTTTTTTTTTGGTCTATAAAGTTATGACGTAACGAGAAAAAAAATTTCGATTTTTGAAATTTAAAAAAATTTGGAGCGACCTCTTAAAAATTTTTTTTCCAGCTGTTCTTTAGAGAGAGCTCTTAAAACATAAAAAACCAACATTTTTTCACTCGAGACTCAAAAAAAAAAAAAAAGTCGGTTTTTTTGCGCCACCCTAATATTCAGTTATCAATAATTTGCTTGTTTATTTTTTTTGTTAATTGTTGGATAAATCACTAATGTGATTAACTGCGTATTTGTTTTTAGTTTATATAAATAATTATTGCGAGAGGCTGAGCAGCATGATCTCATTGTAGACTAAATAAATCATCGATGACAGACATGTAAAAAAAACACAATATAAATGTAATGGTGGATTTTTTTTTTAATTTTTTTATTATTAAAGTGGGACGACCTTGAATTGACGGAGATAAAAATATAAATAAAAATGAGAGTAATCAAAATTTATTGTAAAATTTTACTTTGTCAGGATGATGCAGCAGGCGTCTAACGGGGCAGCGGTCTCCAACGTCCCGCAGCAAAATGGAGCTAATTTAGACAGTAGCGAGTCTCACGCAAACGGCAACGCGGTGCCTCGCTGTGACGGCGATGTCAATGGAGTTAATGGTGAGAGTAATCAAACTCTAGAATCGCCTAAAGTTATGGACAAAACCAATCAAGATATTGTAAGACTCATTGGCCAGCATTTGAAAGCAGTCGGACTTGAGTAAGAATATTTATCATTTCTCGTTAGATTTTTATTGCTTTATAATCGATCACCTACTTACAGTACTTAATACATGATATATGATGATACTTTTATTGATTCAGAGAATTTAATAATATTGTAAAACATTACAGCCGAACTGCTGATTTGTTGATGCAAGAATCGGGATGTCGATTGGACCACCCGTCAGCGGCCAAGTTCCGCCAGCACGTAATGGACGGGGATTGGAGCAAAGCTGACCACGATTTGGACGAACTCAAGTCCTTTTTAAACAACCCGAACCAGAGTGTTGTCGAAATGAAATTTTTATTGCTCGAACAAAAGTACCTGGAGTTTCTCGAAGAAGGCCTTGTTTTGGAGGCGCTGCATGTGCTTCGCAACGAATTGACTCCTTTAGGACACAACACAGGACGTGTCCATCAGCTGTCGGCTTTTATGATGTGCAGCGGGCGAGATGAACTTCAGGTAAACAAATCGTTAGCCTAGATCTAAGTGTCCTACTTAATCAGCTTCCACGCCTAGACTTAGAAATTTTATTTTTTCATGTTTATGACACGAATGTTTATTAAATACCATTAATTTTTCTATAATTTATTAATATTTTGTCAAATTATTTTTACTAGCAACCTTGCAGTCAGTATGTGACTGCCGTGATTTCTGAACTATAAATAAATAAAATGTTGCTTTATTAAATAGTGACTTTTGTTAAATTGCACTGTACTTTCTTCACTATTGACATTTTTAAAGATATAAGCTCATCCTGATGTTACACTCATCAAGAGCTTTCATTTGAGTACCCACGTGCATTTTTGATATATTTTTCATATATACATATATATAATGTTTATAAAATATATGAAAAATTTATGTGGGTATTTAAATGAAAGGTCTTGATGAGTATAACATCGGGATAAGCTTATATCTTTAAAAATGTTAATAATTGACAAGATACAATGTCATTTCTTAACTATTGATGTCTTTAAAGATATAAGCTCATCCCGATGTTACACTCATCAAGAGCTTTCATTTGAGTACCCACATGCATTTTTTATATATTTTTCATAAATACATATATATATATATATAATATATATAAATATATGAAAAATTGATGTGGGTACTCAAATGAAAAGTCTCGATGAGTATGATGTCGGGGTGAGTTTATATCTTTAAAAATATCATTAGTTGACAAGATAGCAATCTCAGTTCTTAATTATTGACATTTTTCAAGATATAAGCTCATCCCGATGTTATACTCATCAAGAGCTTTCATTTGAGTATCTACATGCATTTTTGATATATTTTTCATAAATAAATATATATAAATATATGAAAAATTGATGTGGGTACTCAAATGAAAGGTGTTGATGAGTGTAACATCAGGATGAGCTTATATCTTTAAAAATGTCAATATTTCACAAGATACAAAGTCATTTCTTAATTATCAATCTAGAAATAGATATTACCATTTTCGAATGCAGCCTAAATACTTATAATAAATTTACTATCGGTGAGAATGAAACCTTGAAAAGGCACAACTCCAAGTCAATAGTTTTTCAATGATACCAAATCTAACTATAAAAACCCATTTTATCATATAAATACACTAGCCACAAAATTTTGCTTATTCTCTTAATAATATAGATGTAAGATATTTTTAAAAAAAATTTATTTAAACACAATAAATTTTTATCAACAGACACGTGCTGGCTGGGACGGCAAAGGCTCAGCATCACGTACAGCTTTGATGGACAGATTACAAAGGTATTTACCACCATCGATAATGCTCCCTCCGAAGCGACTGCAGTCGCTGCTCTGCCAAGCGGTCGAGATGCAGAATCAGCAGTGTACCTATCACATTACATCGAATCAACCGACACTGGAGAGTGTCTCACTGCTGGTCGACCACAGCTGCAGTAAGGAACACTTTCCTTCTTACACAACCCAGGTGCTCAATGACCACTGTGATGAAGTATGGTACTGTAAATTCTCCCCGGATGGATTGAAACTAGCAACTGGCTCTAAAGACATGACCCTCATCATTTGGGACGTCGACCCAGTAAGGAAACGTCCACAATGTTCCCTAAACCCTTCTCAAAACTAATCCTTTAAATTATTTCAGGAGACATTAAAAGTTACGCACAGAAAAACTCTAGAGGGCCATACCTACGGAGTAGCTTTGATTGCTTGGAGTCCAGACAGCAGTCACTTGATAGCTTGCGGACCCGAGGACTGTCCGGAGCTCTGGCTTTGGAATGTCGATACTCCAGACTGTGAATTGAAGTTTAAGCTGACTCACAGCACCGAGGACTCGCTGACTGCGTGTGCTTGGCATCGCGACGCCAACAAATTTGTTACTGGAGGCCTACGCGGACAATTTTACCAGTGTGACATGGACGGTAATATTCTTGACTCGTGGGAAGGCGTCAGAGTTAAGTGTCTGTGGTGTCGCAGCGATGGCAAGACCGTTTTAGCTGCTGACACTCATCATCGTATTCGGGGATACAATTTCGATGAACTTTGCGATTTTACAATGTGAGTCGTCTTTCATTATTTTGTTTATGATTTACTTTCGGGAATTTATAATTATTTTTTTATAAACAGTCTCCAAGAGGATCATCCGGTGATGTCATTCAGCGTAAACAAGGCTGATCGGTTGGTGCTGCTAAATGTTGCCAACCAGGGTGTACACTTATGGGACCTGCAGGACAGATGCCTCGTCAGACGTTTCCAAGGCGTCACTCAAGGGCATTTTACAATTCACAGTTGCTTTGGTGGTGTCAATCAGGACTTTATTGCTTCTGGTAGTGAAGGTAGATATATTTTTTTTTTTAACTTCCCGCTAAGAAAATTGAAAATTTTTTCACTAAAGGGAAGTTATTGTTTTTGGTCCGATTTTTAAAAATCGAGTTTTCATCGGATCTCCACATTTTGAGATCCCAGGAAGCCATTCTGACTATTCCCGCCGTATGCTTGTAAATAAATTTTTGTCGTACGATTTTTCAAAAACTAATCAACCGATTGAATTCTACGACACGTTATTCGAAAGGGTTTATCAAAACTTAGATCTGATTAGATTTGAGAGTTAATCCATCGAGCCATTCCGAAGAAATTAAAAAAAAAAAATTTGAATTTTTATGTTTTTTTTTTAACAACTTTGAAGCATGCGGAAAAATCATAATAATACCATATATTTTTTGTGCTTAAAAAAACTGCGTCGAACGACGCATTTAAAAGTTATAGTTAAAAAATTCGAAAAATTTGGCCTTTCAGTATTTTTTTAAGATATCTTCGCGAATTTTCAACCAATCAATATAAACTTATACATTTTTTTTGCTTAAAAAACTACGTCGAATACATTTTTAAAAATGAAAATCGAACGACGTATTCAAAAATTATAGTGAGTTAAAAATTCTCAAAATTTTGTTTTTTTGGTATTTTTTCAAGATATCTTCGAGAATTCCCAACCAATCAATATAAACTTACACATTTTCTTTTTGTGCTTAAAAAACTGCGTCGAATGCTTTTAAAAAAAATCGAGTAACGCATTCAATAGTTATAGTTGTGATAAATATATTTTGAGCTTGAATAGCTCAAATATTAATCAAAAAACACATTTTAAAGCGCTTCAAATTCAAACTTACCGGGAAGTTCTAGGGGTTGACCTGCTTGGTCAACCAATTTCCAGATTTTTTTTTTTTTTTAATAAAGGTTGAGTATGTTATGGTATTTATGATAATTGTACAACAAAAGAATGCTAATGGACTCCTGCACACGTGTCTGCTGTCAGATTATTTTTATCGTGAATCAGTTTAATGATAATAGTAATATAATTCAAGTGTGTTATTACTTCTATACATTTAAATTCTTAGAAATTAAAATGATTAAACTTTGCTAGCCAAAGCACTTACATTTGACCCATATTTATTTATTTTTACTTGAAACATAATACTTATATAGATAATTTTTGCAGATCACAAAGTCTATGTTTGGCACATTAAACGTGAACTGCCAATTGCTGTTTTAACTGGGCACAGTAGGACTGTTAATTGTGTATCATGGAATCCAGTGTATCATCAAATGATGGCTTCAGTGTCTGATGATTGCACTGTACGGATATGGGGACCAAGATCAGCATCCCCGGATCGTCCAGACAGTACTAAAACTGGTAATTAATTTATATAATTATTTTTTTTTTTTATTAGTATTTATCTGATAGGTAAGTTGTTATATTAAATATTTATTAATATTTATAGCCTCGCCAGACAGTAATTCGTCGAATGGAAGTGGCTGGCATGAAATGGTGTCGTAGCGACGTACATTAACGCAGTACTCCCATGACCCCATGGTGTTCAAAAGACTGTTTTGTTAACCGTCACTTACATTGAGTACATCTCAAAGTGTTCTTTATCGTAAAATACTAGCGCAAAATATGTGCTCACATATAGTGAAAATAAATATTTTCAACACGAGCGTACTCAATCATACAAAACCGTGGAGTTTAACTGATAATAATAATTATATATACTATATATATAATTATGCAATTAATAATTAATTATAATAATGATAATATATTTCAATAAATTTATTCGGCAGTAATTCTCTTATTATGTCGTACTCCACGGGTTGTTTTATAATTTTATTTTATTTAAATAAAAAATAAAATTATTTTCCATTTTTTTTTTTTTTTAATTATTCAGATCACTAGTAAGTGAAATAAATAGTAAAAAGTTTTAAATATTAAATTTAAAATCCGTTCCACGACGTAATAATTAATTGGTTGAATAAATAAAAAAGCATAATGCTAATTTACTAGCATAGAGTTAAGATTGTATTAGAAAATTGTCCAATTATATTGACATAGTTGGATATGATAAATATGATAAGAGTTTAATTAATATTATTATTATTGATAATAATGATAATGAAAAATAATTATTGTTATTATTGTCATTATTAATGATTAATAATAACGAATAAGCGTTTAACCGAGCGAGAGCATCTTCGAGCCATTTTATTTTTGTTTTTTGATTGAAAAAAAAAAAAGTAAACTAATTAATTGAAATTTAAATTAATTTGTGCCAATTTTACTGCTGAGAAAAAAAAACTATTTAAGTTGTTATAGTTAATAAATATATTTGTGATTAATTGTAATTGTACGATTAAAAATTCCTGAAGATGATTAAAATATCTCGTGATATTTAGTGGCAATTTAACGGGACACGTCTACAATACAATTTATCTAACATTGTAATTTTATTTTAGCTTTATTGCAAGTAAAGTAACCCGCGCTAATTCGTATAATCAATATCTACGTTTTTATTTATAATTAATTATTAATTCAATTGAAAAAAAAAAAAAAACAATAACAGCGATTTTATATAACGGTAGAAATACTTAACTTTTAAATAATTGAAAAGGAAGCTAATTAAACAATTTAAAATTATAACAAAAAGCAATTTACGAATGTTACCTCTGACTTATTAACTGCCAATTATTTTTTTTTTTATTATTATTATTATAGTAGTCATTATTATTGTATTATTGTATAATAATATTAACAAAGTGTAATCATTTTTTAGCACTCGCTTTATAAACGTGTGTATCTAATTAATTGTAAGTCGTTTGTGCTAACACACGGCGATAAATAAAAAAATAATTAATAAAGTAATTGTCGATAGATTATTGTGGGTTTTCTGTAATGGCACATGGCAGTTAATAACATGGAATTATATCGAAACTAAAATAATGATATAATAAAATTATAAACAGTCTTGAAGATGTTTTCATATGAAAAAATAGTAATTATTATAGTTGGGTATTGAAAAATAATTAAAAGGTCTTGTGACATCAAGTGCAGTAAGTTATGTACGGATGAGTTTTCAATAAATCACATTAGAAAGAATACATTTTTATAATTTATATGATTATAATTAGTATTACTATATTGATGTTCGGTTAACATTATTAATTATAATTATTAATGATATTGATATATATTTATATAGATAATATATATTTTTAATAACCACTTACTGCTACTTCAAAACGATCTCAGCAAATTTTTTCTAATATGCATACGTATTATTTTTTTACTAATAGGCCAACTAAACATTTTTATTATTATTATTCATTTTTTTATTATTAATATTTTTAATGTGAATTATGTTGCTTGTTCAACACCATTTTTATTTAACAAATAAACTTTCATTTGTATTAATTTTAACAAAGTTTTGTAAAAATTAATTGCATGTTTTTCAAACTTTCAGGTAATTATTATAATTTATGTTTTTTTTTTTTATTTTTAAGCTCAAAAAATTACACTAATGCTTTTAATGCATGAATTACAAATTAAATATAATTATTGATTTGATAATTTAAATACGATTAAATAGAAAAATTATTTATTTCAATTCAGAAAAAAAATAAAGTAATTATATATTTATTTATTTATAAATAAAAAAATAAATAAATATATTTATTATTGACCATTTAAAAATATGACATTAAATTTAGCTGTCACTTGACAATTTTTTAACATTCTTTAACAAGAAAATTTGTGCTAAAAAATTATTTTTAAAAAATTGCATTTTTTATTTTATTACATTGTTACAAGTCCATTTTTTTTAATTATTTTTTTTTGCCACAATTTATTTATTAAAGAAAATTAAAAAACTTGTCAAGTGACAGCTAAATTTAATGTAGTTTTAAAAATTTTAGATTTTCCCGCGCTGTCATTTAAATATTTCGCGCATGCGCAGCGCTACCTAAACTCAAAACTCGTCCGTTAGATTTCAAATTCCACAGTTCATCAAAATGGCTCCCCCCCGGTACTTCGTCTTGACGAACTTTTCGCGTTAACACTCTAATTAGTGGCAAATTAATATTAATTAGCAGAAAAATGAATAAATAAACAATTATAACACATTTTTTTCAAAAAATTATTAAAAAAAATTGCATTTGTAATTTTTTAAAATTTCTACATGTCAATATTTTTTTTTTTTTATTATTTTTGCCATAATTTATTTGTTGAAAAAATTCTAAAAATTATTGAATATCTTAAATTAATTATCATTAAGTCAGCTGTCAGTTGATCATTTTTTAATTTTATTTAAAAAAATTTGTTCAGAGAAATTTTTTTTAAAAAATTGCATTTTTAGGTTATTAAATTTTCTAAAAGTCAATTTTTTTTCTCCAGTAATTTATTTATTAAATATCTGCTAAATTAATTTTCATATGAATTGTGAATCCGAAAAAAGAAGAAATGTGTCCAGCATGTGCCGCTACCTGGTGAGTAATTTTATGACAATATTTAATGGTCCTTGTCCATCCGTGCTTACAATAACAAATAGTAATTGTTGATTACAATATTCCCACCTAACACCGTCTGTAGAATAAGTAACAAACAGAGACAGATATCGAGTGAGTGATGTGCGATAAGTCGCAATCATTCGAGATACAACTTTCTTATTAGTCGTTTTAATGCGGTATTGATGATTTCCATTTAAGGAGATCGCTCTCCTACTAACGTAGTTGTAGTAGTTGTACATGCAATTGTACATATATCATACAATACAATAATATCTATATATACCTAAATACGTTTAATATAAGTGATAAGTGTGAGTGTATGTCGGATCATTGGGTGGGTATGTATGAGCAATGAAAAAAGAACCCAGTAGTTGGTCATATAAAAAAATAATACAAAGATTCGGTAAAACTTTATTGATAATTGAACTATCATTACTCGGTGGCTCGTATGCGCTTTGGCACAAAACCAACACCTCCCCAGGTAATTATTAACAACTAGTCTTCATTATTGAGGTTATTCACGTACTGCATGATTCATTTTATTATATTGTAATTTTTCTTTGTTAATCCAACAAGATTGTTTATTATTCAGAGTTCCGCTGGTACTTGCATCGTAACTACCCTTCAGTACTTGAAGGTTACTACAAGATTGGAGAAAAAATCTCTGAAAAAAATCGCATTATTCGGGAGACAGACTTAATGACTTGGGGAAGAATTCCACCTAAGTCTGCATGATCTTTAGTTTTGCTTAATGGCTTTCGTAAAAGTTATATTAGCAGCTATTGGAGGGACTGGAGTTGGATTCTTTTTATTAAAACTCGTTACTCCTGAGGATAGAGATTTTCAAAAGGTATTATTGCATTTTATTCATCATTCATCATGTAGTGTTTAAACGTCAGATTATTTTAATGAAAATTAATTTAGCAGTTATTTGATAATTTTTTTAACAAATAAATTACGGCAAAAAAAAATTGACATGTAGAAATTTTAATAAATTATAAATACAATTTTTTTAAAATAACTTGGGAACAAATTTTTTTGTTAAAGAAAATTAACAAATAATCAAGTGACTGCCAACTTTATATAATGTCAAATTATTTCATTATTCGTTTGGGTATTATAATTTAGTTTTAAAGAAAACTAATTATTGTGGGCTATTTAATGTCAGTTCTATCATTTTGAGGTTACTTATTGTGATTACTACATTGGGTGGTTATCGATAGAAAAAAAAAAACAAGGTTATCAAATTTTAGTTTCATAATTGAATACAAAAATTTTTATTTAATTAATTAACTTAGCAATAAAATATCATTTTTATTTTTCTTACCCGTGACCTACTTTTTTACATCATTGACATAAATTATTTGATTTTTTCATTTTTGTTACTTATTTTTTAAATTAAAATTTTTTTAAACTAAAGAATAAAGAAGAAAATTTTAATAATTTTATCCAGGATAAAATTATTGTTACCAGTATATTTATGTATATGAAATATAGGATAAAAGTAACGTTTGTGGCCACTGTACCGTTTATGGCCATTTATTGTTCAAATAAACGATAGAAATGAATTTATATTGATAAACCATTACAAACTCAATTTGTTTTAATATACATTTTGTAAAACTCAATAAAAATATGGTTATAATATTATAATTTTTTATAAACTAATTCAAATGTTTAACTGGCCAAAAACGGTGCTAAGGTGGCCAAAAACGTTACTTCTACCCCATAGATATATTTTATCATTGGATAAAATTTTATCCTGGATTGAAGAACTGGCCCTAAGAAACAGCTAATTTTATAAGTTTCTGCAATAAGAATTGGCTAAATTCACGTAGCCACAAATTTTTGTTTTTCGTTATTTTATAAATGACTGAATTTATATTTGGTTAAAATTCCTTTTCGCTAATTTCATTATTATCATTTTTTATTTTCAGTTAATATCACAACTTACATTATCAACTGATTTCCAAATTTAGAGTTAATCAACGTTCTAGTTTACAAACGGCTATTTTTCAGTAATATTAAAAACATACTTAAATTAATGACCACAATTGTACATATTTGAAATTTGTAGTTAATTGACATTCATTTTTTTTTTTTTACTTCAAGTCATGATTGAGCCTAAACATATACATAAATTGTAAATAATAAAATAAATGTATCAATAAAAATTAAAATAAATGTTCCAGAAATTTCCTAAGCCTACAATCGAAGTTTACCGACCTTTTTTGCAAAAGTCATCAAAAACTCAAAACGAATCATCAAATTCTATGTCAACTGATTCAGAAACCTTAAAAAGAGAGTCGTCTGGAAAATAACATTCGGCAATGGAGACCACAGAAGGGACAGAGCTTGGAGGCGTAGAAAATCTCACTGATCGCATATCGAAGCGTGACCGTGAACGTAGAAATGTAATCGAGCGTCGCCGAGAAGAAAAACAGCAGCTAGCAGTGGAGTCAGAGCAGCTGAGCTTCTTCCAAGACACATTTCACCTTCATTGCGAAAAAGTAAAAGAGCTGCTGGACACAGCGCCAGCAGCGCAGACTTCCACGCTTCCAGGGATCTTCGACAAAGTCAACAAAGAAATTCTGACCCTCTGGAATTACCTATCCCAGTCAAAGATATTCCTAAAAATGTATGACATCCGTCGAGCTCAGGAATCTCTCCAACAATTGGAGACCGAGGCCGCTGAGCTGGAGTTAAAATTGTTGCCCAAGAAGAAGTTTGGATTCAAGAATCGCAGACCAGCCAAAAAACCCTCGGAAAAGTCTCTAGACGTTACAGACGGGTTAAAGAATCTCAATTTGTCTGAAACGGTGACCACTAATGGAGCAACCAAGCAGCACAATGAACTCATCAGCAAGTACACCGACAGTGCAAGCAGTTTAATTGGCAAGTCTGACGGGACATTTGCATTAGACGCCGAAAATGTAAACAAGAATGACGTTCTGTTGTCCGACTTGACCCGATGTATTGTGCGTATTTACGGCGCTCCTAGCACAGTACACATGATTAATCTAAAACAATGCCAAGTACTAATTGGACCGGTATCGTCATCTGTATTCGCTAACAATTGTGATTCATGTACCTTTGCATTTGCATGCCAGCAATTACGTTTGCACTCGTCAACAGACTGCACCATCTATCTCCACGTGACCAGCCGGGCTATTATTGAGGACTGCGTTAAGATAAAAGTCGCGCCTTACAACTGGAGCTACGAGGACCAGCAAAGTCACTTTAATCTCTCTGGGCTGGATATTAAAACCAACAACTGGGACTCCGTAGACGACTTCAACTGGCTTTCCTACGAGAAACACTCACCCAACTGGGCGATTTTGAAGCCAGAGCTCAGGGTCAAATTTCGGGATTGAATAACATTTTGATTCTTTTTTTACTTTACTTATTATATTATATTATACATATTTTTGTCGGTTATCTGAGTACACCGATATGTTGGCTGATTAAATCTTAGATATTTTATTTGAATATATATATTTGTCTAAGACATAGTATCTAATATTTTAATCATGTCAAATTATTAAGTAATAATAAACACGTGTATTTTCGCTTTTACACAATTAATAAATGCACGTTATCTTTATCCAAGTCCTTTTGATTTTATTTTACCCATTTTTTTTATATCTATGATGATCTATAAAAATCACGAGGGAAAATTTGAAATTTTATTATTATATAAAACAAAAATTTTTTTTGACTGGGATAATAAAGGAATTTGGGAATCGGGTTTTTTTGTTTTATGAAGTATACATTAAAGATTATTATCCTAAAATTTTATTTAAAAATATCATGTTGTTACAAAGTTAAACTGCGTTGTAATCTGCGTGGATGTGGTTATCGTTCCACGCAGGGGATTTTGAAAATTTGGATTTTAAAAAAACTGCAATGTAATTTATTAACTGGCTGTAGGACAACGTCCCCTAACACCCAAAAGATACATAAAGTATTACAGAGTGTGTGAAAAAATTAAGTAATAATATATAACATAAGAATTGAACAATGAGATTTAACATTTATATAAAAAATAATTTCAAATGAGAAAATGTTTATTATTTGGTCTCTGGCGACATTAAAAATTTTTTCGTTTTTTTTTTCTCATTTTTTTGAGTTCAAATAGCTCTAAAAAATCTTAAAAATCAAAATTTTCAAAATCCCCTACGTGCAACTATAGCTTCTGAATAGTCGAATGCATAAAAAAAAATTGCAAGTCGGTTCATATTTATGCAAATTTAAACTTTGATTTAATAAAAAAAAAAATTTTTTTTTTTTGAAATTTCTCAGTGACTATCCCCCTTAAAAATCGAAGAATCTAAAGCGAAGGGTTAACATTAAAATTGTTTCTTTAACAGAATTATTGCATTTATGTAAATGATAAAAAAAATAGGTTGAGTAAAAGACTATTGAGATGATATTATAAGAGCGAATCTGGATAGAAGAATAACTATGGCAAGCGCCCCCGAGAGAATCACAAAGACTTGTTTTCTTAACCAATATTATTTTTATTGGGTCTCCATCGAGTTGGAATATCTGAATATCAATAGCTGACTTGAAAGCAAGTATTAAAACTCGTACCAATCGCGTAATATATTTTCAAATGCTTCAATAGTTTGCATTTTGCATGGATTCATTTGATTTGTTAAACAGTTACTTGTTATTTTTTATTCTACAATAACAACAACAATAATAATAATAAAACTTTATTTAGCAAAACTAGTGATTTTAATAAAAGACTTAAAGAGAATTTTTAGCGTGACTAAAGAATCGGTTGTTAACCGCTTGTTAGATTTTGTCGGTGTATTTTCTTCTTAAATCTTCTATCCAACTCCAACGATATTATTATATATTTTTTCTTATATATTCTTGATACACACGCTCCATTCAGTGTCAAGCACCATGAGATGTTCTTTGACATTGCATGAAAGGATGTTTCCAAATGTTTGTATATTCTACCGACAACTGCACCAACTTAGTTATACTGTTATAGTACTCCTAGCATAGTTATAGTACAAACGTTTACGCAGGTGGACTTTACACAAGATTTGGCAATTATAAAAAAAATAACGCGTACAAAAAAAAAACGTAAATCCACCGCTCAAGACAACTAAACCGTCGACTGTCGATTGATACTAAGTACTTTACTTTATCTTTATTTTTTTTCTTCATCTTTATTATTGATTTGATGATTTTAATTTTTTAATAAAAAAATGTTTATTTTGTCTGATATGAAGGCAAGTTAATTGTCTATTTAACGGAAAATAAAAAAATAAATTGAAGAGAACAATAGACAGTACTTGAAGTAATTGCAGAGCATAAAGAGAAGATTTTACTAGAAAAAAAAAAAAAAAATATATTTAGTAAAATACGAATATAAATTATAGTGACAGTTATTGCTGTTCTTTATGTATCAAAGAAACAACCTCGTTATTTTCCGATTCGCTAATTTGCGTAGCCCTTCTGAAGTCGCATTTCACGATTGGCTAGTCACTTAACGAAGGGCCAAAGGAGCCGTCCTCGCTAATTATCGCATAACAGTACCTACTCGGTAAATTATAATTATAATTTATTAATTAAATTTTTAGTTATTTAAATTATTGTGTTTAGATTTTTTGTAATCTAAAATCGAGAATTAAAATTTAGGCTGTTTTTTATTGAGCGGTTTCATATATTCAAGCTGAATCGGAGTCGGAGAATCGATTTAAAGGTTTTGTCGATTCGTTTCGTCGAAGCCGGAAAAAAGAAATGTAAATAAAGGCGAGAGTGCAGACCGAGAGCCCCGGGGGGCGGACGATCGAAAGGATCTAAAGTTTGGAAGCCAACGAAACCCATTGATCCTTCGCGCACAATAACTCATCGTGAAAGAGAGAGATCTCTCGGTCGAGTAAACGATCTTATATACGTCTATACTTAATAATATAATATAATGCACGAAAATATTAAATAAAATAACAAAATAAATAAGTTGGTGCAATCCGACTTATACGTTTCACTGGCGTCCTAACGACCTCACAATAATTCAACAATCTTTTGCTCACCACCGACTGTTTAACCTTTAGACTACTAAATCCTCTTCGATCAATCTTTAACAGAATTTTTTATTTTTAGATTTTTGCTTCGATTTTGATTTTTTTAAAATTTCTCCATAAAATTTGCAGAGTAAAAAAATTTTTAAACTGAAATAAATTTATTTAATTACAAAAAATTATTTTTGAAATTTTTATAATCTATTTTATGAGCAGAAACCTTTAATTTATCATTAATTAAAAAGTATTTATTAAAAATTAATAATTTACTCAATTATTATCATTTTTCCTTATTTTATTATTCATATTTTTTTTTTTTATAAAAAACTATAAATTAACTTGATTTTGAAAATTTTTTATTTTTTTTTATTAATTGAATTAATAATAAAAAAATTTTTTTTTTAAATTGCACGTGTAGTTTTTAAAATTCTTTACATGTGCAATTTTTTCTTATAATTTTTTTGTAATAATTTTATTAATAAAAAAAATTCTAAAAATTGTAATATCTGTATTGACTTGTAAAAAATCTTGAAAATTTTAACTAAAATAATTAAACGTAAAGTTAATATTTAACAATTACAAATGAATAAAAAAAATCATAAGCTTTGACAGAAATTAAGTCTCCCCGAAACGGTTTCTGCTCTTCAGTAGTGTCACATTACAGCTTAAACTCGGAACAAAACAGTAGTCAAATCAAACACTGGGCTATTAACTGGGTCAACATTTAATCGGCAGCAACCGTGCAGTATAAGGGCATGGTATGGTATTTAGGTGCCAATGGACTGTGTCTATCTGTCTACGTCTACCCTACTCATCTTGAAGCCACTCGATGCAACATTATGTATTTGAATCACCCTCTTACTCATCAGTCGTCAGTCATCACTCCTATCCACCCTTCCCTACCTAAAATAAACATCTGATTTGGGCTTATTGCTCCTATACTAGTACTAGTATTATATATACGACTAGCTGATGTTGTTTTAGGCCCTATTATACTATCCTTCTCGAAGTCCAACAATCGTACATGCGGTAACTCGATAAATTACCGGACAGCTTGCGTACACAAGTGCCCCAAGAATTTTCCCGATATCAATATTTATTTCCATATTGATGTAAATATTCCTTATTCCCAAAAACGGCAAGTCAGGATTGGTTATTATATGAATAGACTTCTTGCTTCTGTTCTTCGTTTGAACAACTGCAGACTGTACTCATGTTTCATTTAATCAAACATTGTATTACGAATTACAAAGCTAATAGAGCTAACTTTTAGATTGACAATTCATTTTTATTGTTATTTTAGTTATCAAGTTAGTTCGGAAATGAAAATATAAGAGTGTAATTTACTCTGTAAAGTTATTAACGTCTGGCTTTCAAATCTTCTGTCGTTTGATCTAATAACATTATTATTATTACTACTACTATCTTCTTTCAATGTCTTAAAAATCGTAAAAGCCTTTGAAAATATCTGAATTTTAGCATTAAATCGTGCGATCCGAGAAAAAATAGCTTTAAACTTCTACGTAACGCTTCAAATCATACACACTGAGAAAAAAAAATACTTTTATTAAGAAAATTTTCTTGATACAAGAATTTATGTTCTTGAAAATTTTCAAGAATATATATTCTTAGCTCAAGAAATTGTTCAATTGATTGAAATAATCAATTGAAATAATCGGCTTCTCCTCGGCCGACAATTACATGTGATCTGAGACATTTCTTTTACTTTACTTCCCTAAATAAAGCTATTCTTTTGTTTATCTATTATCCAAAGATAAATATTGATGTTCTTCTCTTCAGAAATTAATAATTAATAATAATAGAATATTTGATCGTCAGCGAGTTTCTTGAGCGAAGAAATTGTTAATTGAGCAAAAGTATTTTTTTTTCTCAGTGCAGAAAGTTACGTCTCAAAAAAGCATTTTCTTTGGCAGCATAGAAGTTTATTGGAAATTTTTTTCACTAAAGCCCTTTGAATTTGCGAAAATTGTCAAAACCTTCGAAAATATCTAAATTTTGATATAAAATTTCAACAAATTCTCCTAAACTTCTATTATATAGCTCAAATTGCTTCTTTAAGATGTATTCTCTATAATTTTGGAGTCATAATAAAAATTCAGTGCTAATTTTTCTTAGTTGGCGCGATTTTATACTAAAATTTGACAATTTTTGAAGTTTTTGACGATTCTTGCGGACAAAGTTCAAATTGCTTCTTTTAGATGAATTCTCTATAATTTTGGAGCACTGCGAAAAAAAAATTTTTCAAATTTGGTTTTTTTGGAATAACTTTTAAATCAACGGCTTCACTGATCAATTTCAAAAACTGATGTGCT